TCAGATCTTGCCACAGATTCTCGATTGGATTTAGACACCAGACAGGTCAGGGATAAAGTTATTGAGAAATTTAAAGCAGGCTTAGGCTACAAAAAGACAAAATATTAAAATAAGTTGTCATTTTAAAAAGTTAAATAAGCCATTTGATACATTAAGCCTTTTTGTTTTCACCTCATATACGAGAGCAAATAAAATTCTATGTACTATGTGATCTCATAGGTGCTGAATCAAGTTGTGCTAAAGTGGTGTGGGTTTTTTTTTATGTGTTCAGGTGTTGGAGAAGGCGTGGCCATTCATTGGGGTGTACATGGAGAAGCTGCTTAGAGAAAAGATCCAGCCATCCATCAGGTCCTCCAATCCTGCACTCAAAGCGTTCACATTTACCAAGATTCATTTTGGATACAAAGTGTGTGGTTTTGATTTATGCACCATTTTTATTTGTTCTGCTTCAATATTCAGTAACATCCATCATTGGAAGTGCATCATAGGTGATGCATTGTGGCCGAGTGATGTTTTTAAAATTATTTTGTTTTTTCAGCCTCTCAAGATCACTGGAATAAGAGCGTACACACATGAAGTGGAACATAGGGAAGTGATTCTAGACATGAATATAAGGTTGGTCAAACACATTTTTTCACCTTAGTTTACAAAGTAGTGTGATGTTTTCTCTTGTCATCATTTATGTCTGACCAGCTCAGTTTACTCTCCAGTTATGATGGTGATGTGGACATCAGCACTGATGTAAGCCTGGCAATCACAACTCGTGTGAAAGGACTTAAAGTGAGCATCTCATTTTTCTGTGTTCTCTCCATCGTCTATATCACATGCTTACTGTTCATGTAAAACTCGCTCTGGATCTTCCAGCTCCAGGGGATGCTGAGGGTCATTTTAGAGCCTCTTATTGGTCAAGCACCGCTGGTGGGAGGAGTGACTTTTTTCTTCATTCGCCGCCCTGTAAGTGGCCAGAGACTTTCTCACAGTCTTATTATGACGAGTGGAGCCTTGTAGTTAGTAATGTTTAAAACTCTGCACATAAACTGGACTGGTACGCCAAACCTTTTGAGCATCCCTTCTTTAAGGACTCAAATAATATTTGAAATATTTGAAATGAATGATTTTATTACTCGGTGTTTACTTGTTTGGTTGCTGTCCTCTCTCATCACATCTTTCACCTCACAGTTCACTGTCTGAGGAGACGATCTTGGATGCTATAGCTTCCATCATGGTGTTGCCCAACCGCATGTGCATTCCCCTCATAGACAAGGTCAAAGGGGACCAGATGAGGTTCCCACTTCCTCATGTTAAATATTTTTGGAGTTATTTTCATCTTATAACTTGCAGCTACAGTAAGCAGCAGTTCACATTAAAAAACAGAATCCTATCAAAATAAAAAAGTATAAAAATTTTAAATGTTGTTTTGACTATTGCTAGTTTTTTGCTCTTTCAGTTTACCTGACTGTTAATGTGAATACTTGTGCTTTTTCTTCTCAGGGGGTGGTGAGGGTCCACTTGTTGGAGGCCAGAGATCTGGTGGCTAAGAACACACACGTGATGAATTTAATGAAAGCGAAATCCGACCGATATGCCACACTGAGAGTGGGCAGCACGCATTTCAAAAGCAAGACTGTCAAAGAGAATTTGTTCCCAAAATGGAATGAAGTGTGTGAGGTACACAAACACACAGTGCAGTGTGTTTGTGTCCACACTTTGATTCAGTAATCGATTACTGTTTGATTCTGACACTCTTTTTTCCCTTAACAAAAAAATGTGTCACTTAATTCTCATGGACAAACTTGAAAACACAATTTTGTGGAGTTTGTTTGCATTTTTGCTCAGTATCTTATATCCACTTTTTCTTAATGTAACCTACTGAAATCCCATTCAGTAAAATTTAATCAAAATACTTGAAAGACAATTAAAACATTGTTGTTGTTGTTTTTGTGTGTGCAGTTTATTGTCCATGAGGCCCCGGGGCAGGAGCTAGAATTAGAGCTGTGCAATGAGGGCGCAGACAAAGATGATTGTCTTGGAAGGTAAATCGAATATTAAATGGATTTTGGCCAAATTCTTTAATGATAATAATAATAATGATGGATTGCATTTATATAGCGCTTTTCGGGGCCCTCAAAGCGCTTTACAATACCACTATTCATTCACTCTCACATTCACACACTGGTGGAGGGCAGCTACAGTTGTAGCCACAGCTGCCCTGGGGCAGACTGACAGAAGCGAGGCTGCCATATCGCGCCATCGGCCCCTCTGGCCATCACCAGTAGGTGGTAGGTGAAGTGTCTTGCCCAAGGACACAACGGCCGGGGCTCGAACTGGCAACCTTCCGGTTACAAGACGAACTGCCAACTCTTTGAGCCACGATTGCCCCATCTTTAGGCAGCATCTGCCAATCAGTCATCAGTAGATTTCTCGTTGTAGTGCCTCCTGTAGTCACTGATGTCAACAGATCCAACTTAAAGACAGTTTTATCACTCAATATTCAACATATTTAATTTTTGTCCATAATATGTCATTTACTTGTATTTGTATAGCACTTTTCTGGTTTTACTGGCCATACATGACCAATCAAAGCTTTCACGCTTCTGGGTCGTTTGACCCAGCATTTTCTGTTTCTGGTGTTTTTGTATTATTCTGTATTATGATTTAGGTTCTGATTCCTTAGTTGTGCTGATTATTATTATTATTATTGTAATCCTCATGTTAGGGTAGGTTTAGTTCAGTGTCTTGTCTGTGCCTGCCGTGTTTCCTGTGTTAATTTGAAAGTCCGTGTCTCATGTCAGTGTGTGTAGTTTTACTTTCTTTTTAAATGTAGTGATATGATTATTGTTTTGGTATGCATTTCTGAGCCACGAAACTGATTAAAATAATGATCTGTCTGAGTTCTGATGTTATTCTACATTTCTTGTCTAATTTAGATATAACCTTGATTTTGGAGAAGTGAAGAGGGAGAAACAAATGGATCAGGTGAGCTTTTTTAACGCTAATAAACAACTAATAGCAGTATTTCTGTGCTAGAGGACATTGCAGGATTTATGTAGTGTTCAAGCTTCTGTTATAATTTCCTCTAGTTCTAGATTTGTATTTAATCCTTTTGAACATCCTTTTACTCATGCAGTGGTTTCCTGTGGACAGGGCACTGCATGGTGAAGTTCATCTTAAGCTCCAGCGGTTTTCCCTTCAGACTGACACCAGCCTGCTGAAGCAGGAAGCCTACAGCAGCTTAGTGTTTCTTTGATGTCACTAACATCAGGATTTTATTATTCATCTTTTAACTGCCGCTGTAGGTAGCTCAGCGTCCAGCTGCTATGTAACTCACGTTCATTCTCTCTCCCAACTCTTCCTTCCAGTCCACGGACAACTTTGCCTGTGCTGTGCTTGCAGTGTACCTGCACAGTGCCACAGATCTACCAGTAAGTATCTTCTAATAGGGAGTATTAGAAAATACTGACGTAAGTCAGTGATGCAAATGTGCTCAGCTGTATTTTTGTACTGCTCTACAAAAAGATGGCCATGAGTCTCGAGAAAAGTAGTATCTTCTAATTTTATAAGAATATTTGGCACCAAAGTACAGTATTAGAGCGCTTTATATTTAACTGAAGCGCCACTGAAAAACAGTAAAAGTGTGTTTATTTTAAATTAAAATTTGACATAGGTATATAAAAAATTCAAGCTTTGTTTTACTCATTAAAAATAACAGAGAGTGATATATTTTACTTCTCGGCAGCAGCCACATAAACATCTAACGTTTTGTGTGATGGCACATATTGTTTTTAAAACCAGCCCACTGGTCATAATGGAGATATTTTTTCATCTGATATCAGATAAAACTGGCGTCAGTTCTGAGATTGCATTTTGTAATTTAATTTCTGCTGCACTAAAAAAAGAAAAATTAATCACATAAATTTGTCGTTAATGAAAAATTTAGAAAAGGGGGGGGGTTGTTAAATTTCTTTTCTTTCTACTATAAAATTGTCCAAAAATGTAACTCTCTTGAACAATATTTCAACTTTGCTTTAGAGCTTGTGGCTCATAACCAAGGGCAGTCGTTATCATTCATTGGTAATTAGCTTTTCTTTCATTTTTGTGTCCTAGAGTTGATGATGCTTTTGAATGTTGATGTCTCAGTTTGATCAGGAGCTTTGTGTTATCACTCCAAGTGCTCTTGTATCTGTAAAAGCTGGCCTTTCCCGTTTGTCTGGCAAATGCCTCTGATTTTACATAGCTGCGTTACTGACAGCTGGTCTTCCTCCTGAGCAATGTTCAGGTTACGTTTCCTAGTATAAAGAAAAATGCAGAAAGTGAACATAATCGGGAACTTTTGAGGAAATTAGAACTATTAAATCTTTTTTTAAATCAGACACACACTGACACATTACCAAGGTTGCTATACTCACAGATCTTTTTATAGTTACATGCTATTATGTGTGAATCCATTCATCTTGTTATTTAGGCACTGGCAGGCAAGGAGCATGTTTTCACAGAGACCTGCTAAACAGTTCTCAGTTCTGTTGCCTTCAGAAGCATTGCCTCTGACTGCCCTCTGGTGGCCATACTGTGACAACGCAATAACACAGTGAAGTGTGTGGGAGTATTTTTGCAACGACCTGTCATTATATCAGATTTCCGTGATTATTGTGGTATTCCCCAAAACAATTGTATTCTTATTTTTGTAGATATTTATTTATTTTATTTGATATCCAAATAGCACCAATAAAACAAAAATGCCCTTAGAGTATGATTGTAGGGCAGTGGAGAGAAGCTCTTCAACCAGAACTGTACAGAAGTTCATAAAATAAAACAGAGAGAAGGTTCAGGTTTAAATCCCTCATCTGGCCAGGGTTTTTCTTTGCAGACTTTGCATGATTCTCCTCATGTCTGCGTGGGTTTTCCCTGGCTTCCTCCCACAGTCCGAAGTCATGCAGGTACCGGGGTTAGGTTAAATGGTGATTCTAAAACAGACATAGGTGTCAAAGTGAGTGTGAATGGTTGTCTGTCTCTGTGTGTTAGCCCTGCGATAGACTGGCGACCTGTCCAGGGTGTACCCCACCTCTTGCCCTGTGCCAGGTGGGATAGGCTACAGCCCCTCCCCCTTCAACTGGATAAGTGGAAGCAGATAGATGGATGGTTGGATTCAAGGATAAACTGATTTGTTGGTCAATGATAAAAGCTCACTAATATCTCCCAAAACACATTTTGCCTATACCTGAAGAACTCCTAGCCTAATTGTGACAAAATGTCCCACAATTAATGAAATGAAATAATGGTATGGATGTTCACTTACCTGGCTGGCACAGGTTTATATGTGCAAGGGTTTATTTCTGGTTTAAATGTTGACAGTGGCTCACAGAAACACAGACTCAGCTAACAGTAGTTGTAAACTAGAACAGATGTTCTCACTGCCTCACTGGTTTGCTTTTATTTCAGCTCACAAAGAGAACCACCTGTCCCAACTGCTTTGTGGAAATGTCCATTGACGACGACGTTAAGAAAAGCGAGGTAGGTATTGCTAATACGCCATTTCCACCTTTAAGTGCATATGTCCTTTTTTCGATTATTTTTCTTCTGTAAAAATTTAAAACACTGGTCAGTTCATCTGCTTCAGAGATTGCAGTTACATCCACACATCACAGTGACCGTCTCGCTTAACTAGTACTCTCTTTCCACAGGTTGCGTATGCATCTAAAGATCCAGTTTGGGAAAAGGGTTTCACCTTCTTTGTGCATAATGTCAGTGCACAGGAGCTCATTGTTCAGGTTTGTCATTTACTCCGTACTGTTTGTAAAATAATGTAAAATAAATAGTTTAAAACCTTTAATTTAATAACCTAATTAGAAAAGTGATAGCATGTTCTCACATTTTTTCCAGTTTTTAATCAGATATGTTCTTCTGTAAACCAATCATTCAAACCTTGATTTCTCCAGTGTGTTGCCAATGTTGCAACACCATATTCCATCTGATCTCTTCATAAGTTTAATCTAATCTTTGTTTTTTCATATTTTCTTTGTTCATGTGGTTCAGGTCAAAGAGCCTGAGAAGAAGAATCTAGTCGGTGTTCTCAGCTTGCCCCTCAGTCACCTGCTCAGAACCTCCAACCTGACTCTAGACCAGCGCTTCATGCTGGAGCGCTCTGGAGCAAACAGCCAGATCAAACTGAGGGCCACTCTCAGGGTGGGCATGCAAGGCTAAAGATCTCTTAGGTTTCCCTGTTTTATTTATTTTAGTTGTTGTTTTTGTTCCCCCCCCCGCCCCCATTGTGTTATTCACTTGTATTGCCAATACAATTCCTCATCAGCTCTGATGTAAATCTCACACAGATTCTTAATTTGGAAGAGCCTCCATCCCAGACTATCTTCAGTCCTCCTCCACAAGGCAAACAACAACAGGCCAGAAAATCAGGGTACAGCTCAGTCTCCAATCCCTCCAATGCTCCACCCTCCTCTCACACAGCTTCCTCCAACAATATCCCTGCTGCCTCTACTCCGAACCTGGAGGGAGCATCACCAAGCAAAGACTATTTGGCTCAAGGCTGTGGCTCCTCCCAGGCGCCTGAAAACAGGAAGCAATTATCTTCATCAATAAACTTGCGTCGGTTCGACTCCCACAGCCTGCTGTTAGAGAACGTCATCGATTCATCGCGATTCGACCTGTCAGATGGAGCCTCCTATCCAGAGTGAGAATTGTTCTCTGTGTGTCCATTTCTGTCCTCTAACGCTGACTTTTAATATTTTTACAGATATAATGAACTAAGCGAGATGCTGCATTCTCAAAAGAACTGAAAGAAAGAAAAGGTGACATTCATATATTTATTTTTACCTCTAAAGGGCCATTAGGAATCATCTGGGTTCATTTGGAGAGATTGCGTTGTCTGTACGATATGTAGCCATGAGGAACAAACTCATGGTCTTTGTTAACAATTGCAGGTATGTCACAGCGATCAAGCAGCACCAGTTATGATTTGCATTTTTAGTGTGATGACATTAAACTCTTTTTCTAATAAGCACCATATGTTGAATTAATATATATACACCTAGGTCCAGGATATTGAAAATATGTCATATAATATGTTTGCAGTAGCTGGTATAAGTCATAAACAGGCTTAATTTAAGAATATTAAGATATTCATTATTTTTGTTTTCAATTATCTGAGCTCAACACATCAGATGAGAAAAAGGCAACAATTAGAAATTGTAAATTGCACATATAATATACAGTTTTCTTTTAAAATCCTCTGTCACGCAGGAATTTATTCCCCTGCAGTGAGAACGGCACAGACTCTTACGTCCGCCTGTATCTCCTTCCTGTCCAAAGCTTGAAGCATCGCAAGAGGACCGGTGTCAAGAAGAGGGCGATCAATCCCATTTTCAAAGAAAAGTGAGCGTAATAAACTAATTCTACATATCCCGTTTGTTTTTTAAAAAACGAAGAGCTGGGAGTTTTAAAGTTTGTGCACAGTGTTACTTTCTTTTACTTTTCTGACAATCATCTTTTGTCACAGGTTTCAGTTCGATGTGACACTCAGGGAAGCACAAACTAGGAAGTTGTGTGTGTCTGTGAAAAGTAACAAGATGTTGGTCTCCAGAGAGAGAAAGGGCATTGGCTTGGTATGTTATGCTACGTCAGGGTAAACGGCATTGATACCTTAAAAATAATAAAACTATACACTGAGGAATATTCCTATTTGTAAATAAACATTTTTATAGTAATTAGAGTGATATATGCTTCTGATAAAAATAATCTTAATTTTTAAAAACATATTAAGAAATAATCATTATTGGTGTCATTAAAATTGAAACAAATATAATTACTATATAATATAAACAACTCATTTTTTCTGATACAAGCTTTAAAAAGCAGTTTAATCTATTTGTTTTCTATCTATCTATACATACATATGAGTGTCAGTACGAAGCATCTTATAAGGGGCAATACTTCCTTGTTTCTGGGTTTTCGCTAAAATAACCACTTTCAGCACCAAATACAAACTGGTGCTGGTTTCTTTGTTTCTTTGTTGATTGCAAGTCATGGACTCTAATGTAAAACCATGTGTGGGTGATTATTTGTTTTTAGATATAGTCACGTGAATATTTCACACCTGTTTCTCTAAAGGTATGAGCTCACTCTGCTTGGGCTGAAGAAATCCATCTAGCAAGTGGATCTGAGAAAAGCTTTGCAACTTAAAAATCACCTCATCAGCCACTGCAGGGGAAACTGCCGACATGATGCTTGAAGAGTTTCATTCTCCTTTATGGATTTTTTTTTCCCGAAAGTAGCAGAAAAACTATCTTTGATCGTGTAAATAAGGAACACTCTGATCCCAGGCACAAAATTCATCTTCCAATCTAGTAACACTGGAGGTCTTACTTGAAACTGACACACTTAAACATAAGATTAAAACAAGTTTGTGTCACTTTTTGTATGCAAGAAAAGACAATTTGTCAGAACTAAGCAAAAATCAGCTTGTTTTTCAATGCTAAATAATATTTTCACAGTTTCCATCAAACTGCAGTAAGTTGAGGACTTGACCATTAATGCTGATGGTTGATCAGACAGTACCACTAAGTTAATGAGTGTCATGTGCTCTTTGTTCAACGTGTATCTGGTCCCACTATCCTCGCAAAAATGCAACTTGGATATAGCTTATGGTGTTAAGTTGGCAGTAAATGAAGTTGCTTTTGGTGACCATAAGTCACTCTTTGAATGTTCATTTTAACTAAGTATTAACAACGTGTTTGTGTTAGGATCTGACATTCAATTGATGACTGTTATTTCAGAGATGAACGTTTGATCCTCTTCTTTATTTGAAAGATCTTCTCCACTATTATAATGAAGCAGTGAAAGGGACTGGATCTTTTTATTTCAGCCATCTCAATCTAATTGTGACAAGAATAATCCCAGGATGACTGTAATGTATTTCTCAATCATTTTGTAAATAAGGTGACCGAGTTACCATAAGATCCAAGTTCTCCTTATGTTCCTCAGCATGTGAAGATGGCTCTTAGTGAGCTGAGTCCTTTACGTCATTCTTTCCAGTTATTGTTAATGGCTTAGTTACAGTAATGGACTCGATAAAACCCTCTTCATACTTATTTGAGATTTTACCTCTTTCCTGTTTGGGACTTTTACAAGTATGGTTCTTCATTTCTAACTACTGTTAACAACTGTTTGAAGTAAGGTTGTGGCATTCCCTGTTTTAAGCATTCCGAGCCAGTTTTGTTACTTTAAAAAATGTAATCTTGATGTCAGTTCTGTTGGGAATTATCCATCTGTTTCAAAATTGCCATTTACTATATCAGGAGATTATTAAAAACAGTTGTGGGGAGTCAATTGAGATCCTTTTTATGCAAAAAACAGATTTCTGACCTGTTCCAGTTTGATTTTCCAAAGCAGCACTTCCTTGAGATTGAGAGTCTATAATATGATTCTAATGGTATTTGATTCAGGAAATTGTTCTGTACTCATTTTAGTTGATCTCAATAGAGCCCTTCATACCGTTGACTATGGTATGTTACTTAATAGGCTTGAGGTTTCGGCTGGTATCTCTGGCTTGGTGTTAGACTTGTTTTCCTCTGATTTTTCAGACAGGACTTTCTCTGTTTAGGGTAAACAACTCTAACATTGCTTCTCTAACCTGTGAGGTTCCACAAGGTTCAGTCCCCGGTCTCTTACTACTATATCGCTACATCCTTCCTTTAGCTGCCATCGTTCAACCTTTCCATTTCTTATTTATTTATGCTGACATTCAGCTGTTTTTGTCTTTTAAGCCTTACCGGTTCGAGGGGCTATCCACCTAGTTCAATGTCTATCCCAGCAATTGATTTGTTTTGAATTTCAACAAGACTGAGGCCATGATTGTAGCTCCTCCTGAACTACACTGAAAAACCAGTCAAGTGATTGCTTCCTTTTGCTCGTCCAGCATTCATAATTTTGGTATAGTATTTGTTTCTTCTTTAGGCTTTAACTTTTATATAAAATCTATTTCACATTTCTGTTTCTTTCATTTAGGTGTATAGTCTCCTCAGCTGATTCATGCAAACCGTAAAGTTCTTTTTTACTGACTTAGTTAAATCATCTATTTTTCACATCCAAGATTTACAAAACGGTGCAGTCAGACTGCTGATGTGTTTTACGTGTTTTATGTGTGAAATTCACATTCTTGCACAGAGATCACTAAGTGAACAAGGGCTAGACTATTTATCTAAGCTTGTTTTTACTCCTTCGAGCCTTCGATCACAGACTCTGAATTTAATAACTGTTCCTTGTTAGCGACTGAAGGGGGGGGGGGGTATTGCTATTTATGTTAACTGATTTATTGCGACTTTTATTTTATTCTCTTTGAACTTGCTTTTGTATTATTGTTAAC